GATTAATAAATACTTTTGATATTATAAATATGAATACCTATAACTGTTACTTTATTACAAAAAATAAAGATGTGGTTTTTGGTTCTACTACACCAATGGTCAAGAGATGGCGCTGTAGTCTCCTGAATCGCGCTTTGGTTCCGTTGTTCCAGATTAATAAATACTTTTGATAGGCCTTCACAATGCAGTCGTTAGCACCCACTAAATAGAGATTCTATTTCTATTTTGTTGGTAGATTTTCTTAATGTGCGGTAAACACAAAAGTAAAATTTTGTGTTACAGTGATGCGCGCGCATCTTAAAATTTCACTCTCATCATTTTTTCGTAACGCGCCTAAAGAAGTATAACTTCAATAATCTTTGATATTTTTTTAGTAAGTTTTGTGAATTTGACAAAAAAAAAGGTTGCAAAATTAGCACCTAAAACTTAACCAAGTATTGGTTGTAAACAAAACAACCTAATCAACAATTAGGCGGATAGGTAGTCGTAGTATTCTGTGTTTTTTTAAATAGGCCAATAAAAAAATAAAATGTTGTTGACCAATGCCACGTAACTTTAAATTTTTACGTTTTAGGGTTTCGTCGGAAGAATTAAAGATCGAAATTTACTGAATCTCCTTTGAGCTCCTAGTACTTACATAAACTTTCACATTTATTTTTTACTAACAAATAATCAAAGCAGACTAACCAAATGCGAAGACTTCCGCCTGCTTTTATTGGTAGGTGGACCCGTCGATCGCACGTTGAGAGTACGTGCGTCAACACTATCTTTGTAGTAAGGACAATTTAAGATCATTATTTTACGCTTTACATTATGTTAAAAATTACGCTTATTCAACTTGAATGAATTCGGTACGACGCTTAAGGATTTTTCCTCGACAAAAATGGTATTTATCTGCACATCATCATTATCATCACCAGCCTATTAATGTCCCCACTACTGGGATTACAGGCCTTCCCTATGGACGGAGGAACTCGAGATAGAAGATTTTTGGTCACCCATCGAATGACCGACCACTGCGAAAGTTGCTTAACTTCAACGTTCGCAGCCGAACGTAATAACCACTTGCGCCATCGAGCTCCTCATCATTTATTTGCACTCCTTAAAAGAAATCGGTTACGCACTGCGTGATTTAAAACGAATTTCCTTTTGCGAATACTCAGGTTATGGTTTTAACTCCCTACTGTGAATTTCCTAAAAGACTACAACGAAGGCCCCTGCACGAATTTTGACAGTTCCGTAATCGTATTGCATCGTCGAAGTTTCCATGAAAACTAAGTAGCGCCCCTGCCGGACGTAAGAACCAACTGGCTTTTTCCATTCAAAATTTAACCATGAAGATACGATTACGGAGCTGTCAAACTTCGCTCATGGGCTTCGGTACTAAAACAATGAGTTCTTAGAGAAAGCTGTTATTTCTTTTCAATACATTTGCTCAAAAAATGCATTTACGGAGGTTGTATACATTGGTCGAAAGTTCAAAATTAAGGGCCATACAACGAAGCGTACGGTAAAACATTTTACCGCACGCTCCCATACATGGCGCCGTGAGTATCCTTTACGTTTAATTTCGTCGAACCTCCTTGAAAGCGCTTTCATCATACCTTTGTCTCACTTTAACCCCAAAAAAGAAAAAGGGGGTCTACTCGTTTGTAATAACCAATTCACCGCACTAATATTATAAATAACTATTACAGAGTTAGCAACGATCTTATGCTTCATGTTATCCCAAGTATTACAAGTAAGGAAAATGATATTAAAACATTACATTAAATATCAAGTAGGTACACGGTTAGTGAATAAAAATTAAGTACGTAAGGTTATGTACATTTCAAGATTGTGTACAAAACCACCTAAACAATTTACTTCATCACGGCGCCTTGTCATTAAATTATGTACCGCCCCCCGCCACTGTATTTGAAGACTCTATTTAGAAAAACAAAAAAAATGCATGCGGAACCCAAAGTGTATTTTTTTTAAAAAGTGCTAAATTCGGCTGTTTGCCTGGTGTTTTCAAAGACTAAATGGTAGCAGATGTGTCTAATTTGACATAATCATGCAATTCGACGTTGAATACGATTAGTATGCCATTGATTTAAAGGTAGTTATGTAAGCTAACTTAATATTACTAACAATTAATTGGAATAAAATAAAAAAATACATTATCAACAAGCAAAAAAAGTTTTAAATCTGTAACCCGACTACGGAAAAAAAGTAGAGAGAGGAATGAAATCGATTAAAATTGTGACTAACGACGACGAAGCCAAAAGGAAGGGATATCATTTTACCATTCTATGTACATACATACAGGCGAAGGATCATACACACATAAATACATACATAACTGTATGTGTAAATTTACGTATTAAAACGTAGCGCTTAACGATTTCATCTTATTTTAATTAACAAGGTGTCTATTAATTCTTTACAATGACTTGGAAAACTAGGGCTGCCACCTTTCAAAAACAGTAGACCCGGAGATTTTAGAAATGTCGTTTTTTTTTATTAAAATAAAACATTTTTTTAAAGATTTAAGTATTTAATGAAATAAGTACAAAGTAATGGTAAATTAATATAGGTATGTAACGTTTTTTGTTTAATATAAATTACCTAGCTAGTGCTAGGCTGACTTGAACTAGCTTGACACTTAAAATTATATTTTTTATCCTGCAGGGATTGTTTCAGCATTTCTTCTTGCTCAGGTTTCTTCAAAAATTTTAAAAATTCTTGGCAATTCATATTGTAATTAATCTTTACAATTAACTCAGCCTTCACCATGTCCACTGATAAGCAGTTTCGCTCGTCTGTCCACAAATTTCCCATTAAAGAAAAGACGCGTTCTACGAAAGCATTGCTTATAGGGATTGAAAAGATTTTACCAATTATTTTTGGCAGTTCGGTGAAAGTTGAGGTGACTTTGAAAAGCTGAACCCATCGTAAATCAACAGATAATGTTGAATTAATAGATTGTTCGAACTGAGGAAATACTTGGTTTAATTTTCGGGTCTCGTCATACAGTTTATCTTCGTCCACATTTTTCAGACCAAGTGATTCGCAAGCTTCCACAGCATCTTCGTAACTTACTGCACTTGTTAGATCGAATTTGGAAAAAAATTTGAACACAGAATGCTCAAAATCATAATATTTCTGTACGTATTCAAGAGTTCTTCTGTAAACCTCATTGGCTTCTTTTTTTAATTGATCCTGTTCGGAAGGCCTCAAAAACTTCATGTTTCTCATTACTTTGGCGCTATAAAACTCGTCATGCAGTCGGCTTTCAACCTTGTCTTTTATATTTTTCATAATTGGGTGCAACTCAGTAGCTGTTACTGTGTTTTTTTCCAGTAATAGTATGGCTTCTGTCAGCATATTCATATAATGATGAATGAAATATAAATAACATTCCTGTAGTGTGATTTTTGCAGATAAACTTCCAGCATCATCACCACACTGTTTTACGAATTCCCATATTATCTTATGGCATGCTGCTTCACCAAGACTTTTGAAATACGCGGATACAGCAGGCCATGACAATATCAATCTGTCAACAGCTCTTCCCAAACTTAACCATCTAGTTGGCCCATGTCTCAAAACTTTTCTGTATTCAATTTCAAACTCCTCAAAAAATGCCTGCAATTCTCTCGTGCGTTTTGCGCTGTTCGAAAATTCCGCATAAACTTTCATAATCAAGTTTTCCACATCATATGTTAAAGCTTTCATAGCGTTTCTGGCGGCGTTATGAAGAACGTGACAGTTACAATTTGCTTTAACGACTTTGGTATCGGAATATTTATCTTTAATTTTTTGGTACACGGAATTGTGAGCACCGTAATTAACCGGTGCATTATCTGCAGAGAAAGCAGACAGCAAAGTTGTGTCTAAGTCATGCTGAAGCATAAAATTGTCAATATTCTCAAAAATTTTTTGAGATGTTTCGTTCGAATCCTCATAAAAATCCATTAATTTATTCTGAACACCTTTTTCTTGGTCAAAGTATCTGATGACAATTGGATACATTTTCTGGGATCCTTTATTTGAGGCGTCGATAGCAATCGAAAAGTGAACCCCGCCTCCAGATTGAGTCCTTTTTAGGTCTTGTATTGTTGACTGGATTGAATTCGGTGCTAGGACATTCAAAACAATGGCTTCAGCTTTTGTTCTGCCGCAGTGAACTTTATGTGATAGTGGTGAATCGGAATAAAGAGTAGCATTTAATTTAATACCACAATCGGTGCTCAAGTAACTATGGTGGTGGCTAATTGCATGATAAATCGACGCAATTTCGATTGTCGCTACTTTTAGCTCTTCAGAAGAATTTTTCTTGGGCAGAAAAGCGGTTATCAAAGAGTTTGAGTCAATGTTTCTCACCTTTTTCTTGTGCGTTTCACTGTTAAGATGAGTCGATAACGCCTTTTCACCATCCCATTTCACTGTAAATTTCACGTTACAAAATACACATTTCGCGTTTTTTTCATCGACTTTTCTCACCCACATTTTATACTTCTCATTTTCTAGCCACACTTGTTGAAAATTACATTCGTACTTCTTTTTTTTCTTCGACTGTGATTCTTCTTGTTCCATTATGACCACACGCTACAACACTAGGTACTTTTAATAAGAGAAAGTACCGAAAACAATCTGTGATAGAAATATTAATGAACAAAACATAAAATACTCTTGTTTGTGTGCAATTATTACGAAGCGCTAACAGAAATTAGCTATTGTTTTGAATCTAATGATCGTTCTGCGTACGCATGTACTGTTGTACCCCGCCCGCGCTCCCTGCCTGCTACTCCCACTTTCCCGCTCACTCGGCCGCCCGCGCCCGCGCCCGTACGTTGTACGTCTCACTCAGACTATCAGTCACGCACGCACGCACTCCGCGCCGTGCGCCCGGTGCGTGATGACGTGTTGTCGCTTCCCGTTCCATCGGACCCGGAGATATCGATGTTAAACCCGTAGCCCGGACATGAACCATGCAAACCCGTAAACTCCGGGTCAAACCCGGAGAGGTGGCAGCTCTATGGACAACACAAGCTTTTTAACAGACTTTAATAAATAGGAGGAGTCTTGTAATTGATCATTCCTTTCTTTTTTGATTTTTTTCCGTGGTGGGGTTCACTTTTATAAACTTTTTTTACTTGTTACACTTGATAAGGAAGCGAAGGTATAAATGTTTAGCAAATTCAACAAGTCTGAAAATTGATAATCTATGATTTAAATGACAATTTTGGGTTGAATGACATTAGCGGCAGATTACTAGAGATGGGACATTTTAAATATGATTTTTCGATAAATAATTTATTTTTTTTGGGTTATTTTGAAACACCGTGTATATGCGGTTGTTAATAGTTTGTTTCGTGGTCATTATTGTTAGACAGCTTATATCTAATCTTCATATTAATTAAATATTTCGTGCTTTTTTATTTTTTAGTGCCGCCATCTATCGCGAATTAGCAGCATTTCTATATATTTAATGCTATCTATCGTAAAAGCAAGAAAGTGTTTTTGTAAACAATCAACGCCGAAATCTCGCGGGGGTTTATAAGTTAAAAATTATTATTTTTTATTTTCTTGGGCCTAGCTGATAGTTTTATCGTCGTTATTTCCGATTTCCTTGATACAAAAGCTTCAGTAAACTCATTTTGAATGGTAATATTACTATTACTAATTACAATTATTGTGTATAGCATGTTTTACATTATTTATTTAATTGTTATCGTCTGAAATGTTTATTATAGTTTATTTCTTGCTCGTTATTCGCTACAAAGCTTCTATCTAATCTTCGTAAAATATTTAAATAATTTCACTGTTTTATAACGTTTTAGTGTCGCCATCTATAGAGAAAATAAAGCATTTTTTGTACGATTACGGCAGTGCTTCAGTTGCAGGACTAGCATGTGTGCTTTTAAATTTTCTGGCCATTAAGATAGTTTGCTTAAAATTCCTTAGATGCAGCGTGCGATTGCAAGGACATTTATAAAACTTTGTTGTATATGGAATAAAGCTTATTTTTGTTTGAGAAAAATATAACTGAAATAGTATATTAATGTTTCATTTAAAGTGATTAGTATATTAGTTATAAAATGATATCGGTATAGCAGTAAATGAACACCAATGAACTCTCCTTCATACTTTTCAGGCTTAGGACTGTCTGTAATTTATGTAATCGTTATTTTAAACAACAATGAACATTTGCAGATTGCAGGCGTATTTAAAAGTTCATTGGTTAAATGTACAGAAATCAATTATTTACATATTGTTCATATTTTTTTTGTCAACCACCTTTATTTACACCTATTATTTTAATTATTTTAGTAATATTTACATTTAAAAACATTAATTGGGCTACTTTTGTTGTAGATAACCGTGTTCTTCGATCACTAATAGTGTATCCTGATTTTGAAAAAATACGTTCACATGGTACTGAAGTGGCCATGATGTTGCAATGTTTTGAAAATAATTGAAACAATTCGGGATAAATAAATTTATGCTCTCGCCAGTACTTTAGCGGACATTCCGTTCTTTTTATTAGATTGTCAGCTAAATATTTTTCCAACTTTTTATCTGGCGTCTTTTGTACAAATTCTTTATCGGTTTCGGTGTCAAATTGGGACCACAGACTGAAAGTTTGTGATGGCACAAGATCAACAGCTGATGTTGCCGGTTCAGATGATGATGGTAGTACAGGTCCGCTATCTCATTTGTAATTTTAATTTTTAATATATTCTTAATTTTTTCAATCTGTTCTTTGTTTCTTATAGCTTTTAATTTGAACCTAGGATCCAAAACTGTGCTCAAACAAATGGTCTCGTTTGTTTCTAAATTTCCTAACCGACTTAACATGCCATCTTTTAATTTGTCAGCGAGTTTTTTGACTGGGTCATATAATTCTTGTTTTGTAAAATTATCACATATATTGATAAGGCTAGAAGTTAAATTTATCGCTTTACTTGCAACTAAATAATTTTCAGCGCTCATTTCGACGGTGGCTTCATAAAATGGTTTTAAAATAATAGATACTTGTTCTATACATTTCCACTCCTCTGTAGGTATGATTGGAAGATCAGTATCTAAATTCGGAATAGTGGCCCGCAAAGCTTCTGCTAGTTCAATAAACCTTTCCAGCATTAAGAAAACCGAGTTCCACCTCGTAGGTACAGCTTTTATAACCGTTTTTGGCTGAGCCACATTCTGTTGGTGGATTGGTATTTAAGTAATTTCTCTTTGGCTATAGTGCTCTTACGAAAGTGATTGACTACTTTTTGCACTTTAGCCAAAGTATCTTTTATTTCGTCAAGGGCATCTTGGACCACGAGGTTCAATTTATGAGCATAACATCCAAAATGTGGCAAGCCATCGTCTTCGAAGTATTTGGCAGCACTCAACATATTGGATGCATTATCGGAGACAAAAAAATTAACTTTGTCGTAAATGCCCCAGTTTTGCAAAATTGACCTTATTTCTCTGTAAATTCTTATACCAGTATGGTGACCTTCAAATTCGCCACATTGAATCAGAACTCATTTTAATTCTACAGGATTGTTTGTCATAAAATGCGCCGTTATAGCCATGTAGCTATCCAAACTACGGAAAGTCCAAGAATCGACTGTAATGCAAACTGATTTTGCATTTATTTGGACGAACGATTTAATGTCTTCCAGCCTCTTCTCGTAAACTTTTGGCAATAAATTCACTGACAACGTTTTTCGGTCCGGTATTTCATAATTTGGATTCAGGGCGTATACTCACGAAACCCTGCGTCATTAACTATTGAAAAGGGTTGAAAGTCATAAACAATAATTTTTAATAAACTTAAATCAATATTGTTCTTTTCATCGGGCTTGATTTTTTTTGGCAGATACGCATGCATAGCTCTCTGAATTTTTTTAGGAGGTTCAATATCATCCCTTTTCCCGTTAGTGTTTTGTCCATCTGTCTCGCCACCACCACTTTCACATGGTGAGTTATTACCACCAACACGAGCTTCTATCTCACGCGAAACTACTTTTTCAGATCGTGTGTTAGAATTTGTGTTAGGCTTAGAATTTAAAAAAAGATTAAAGGCCGAAACGTGCTTTTGTTTCAAATGACTTTTTAAATTAGTTATTGTCGTTTTATATCACAACTGCCGCCGACAATGATTACAAATAGCAATTTTGCTACCATCTGAGGACTTTTCAAAAAAGAGCAGACTCAATGCTGGTGAAGTTGGTCTTATCGAAAGCACCCTCTATATCGATGAAGGTTCCGAGGCAGATAAGTTTATTTTGAAGGGCTTCTTCTATCTTACCGACTAACTCATGGAGAGCCGATTCAGTAGATTGTACTGTAGGCATGTTGATGTTTATGTAGTGGGGCATTGATTAATGCACCACTGCGTAGGTATCTGTCACATAGCCTTTCCATTGTCTTAAGTAAGAAGGTTGTTAGGCTAATGGGCCTGAAGGATTTAGGGTTAGTATAGTCGGTTTTACCCGGTTTGGGTATGAATACTACCTTGACCTCCCTCCACAAATGCAGAGTGTACCGATGAGCCAGACATGATGTTAATATACGAGTAGCCGCATCGACCACGTCCTGTCCGCCCCATTGTAGTAGTGCTGGAAAGATGCCATCAGAGCCAGCAGACTTGAAAGGAGCAAAGCAGTTGATAGCCCACTTTACTCCCTCAGACGTAATTACCGACTCTGTTAGTCTCCAGCATCCTTCTGTTGTACTTAGTGATGCATCTTGCCAAGTCACCTGCTCTGTAAGCTGGCAGAAGATGCATGGAGGCAGAAGAAACAGCTACTCACGTTCTGCTGGAATGCAACGGAGTGGCCGAATACCGGGCGAAATACCTCGGCTCACCGGGAAACCTTCAAGAGGCAGTCACCAACGTGAAGGCCCTGGGCGCCTTCCTGGTGGAGCTGGGCTGGCTGAAGTGATTCCGGCCACACACCCTCCTCACGCAAAACAGGCGCCATAAGGACGTCGAGTTGCGGAAACGCCCGTAGCAACAAGAAGAAGAACACGACCTACTTTTACAAATAATTAACAGAATTATATTAATTTAGATAAGAATATTGTTTAATATTAGCGTTACAAATAGTATTTGCAAATGTGTAGCTATTGTTATCTGTATTTAAGGGTCTGTTATAATGATTAGCAAAAACTCTAGATCCTAGCTAGATCCTATCCTAAATAGACCAACCAGCAGATCTAAAAATGGAATCTAATGTTACGCCTTCTCTGCACGCCATAGACGTAGACGCATGGCGTGTGGAGTGCGGGGTAAATTTCTTAACATTAATACCATTCATAACTTGTCTTATCCAGCGACTAATTGTCTGGTTACTGGCACAGGTATGAGGCTTTTTATAACAAATTAGTAGTTTGTCTGAGTTATCGAAGCTTCTTTTCTTAGTGGTTTAGTCTGATCAATATAATTTCTAAGTACAGTTACAGGACATATATCTGGTTTCATATTAAATAAGGGAAGTTTTATTATGACCTGATCCTTACAAGGAGTAGTCGTTTTCAAGGTATCAGTAATTATAATTTTAACACCAGTCTCAGTAAATTCTATGTTATTCAGTCTGATAACTGACAATGTTTGTATACGTTGAGCCGTTGTGAGAGCTAACAATATTACCAATTTTTTTGTAAGTTTTTCTAAGTTTAGATTACTATTTGGCGACCAAGTTTCAATATGATTTAAAACAACAGAGGGATCCCATGTGTCGTTATACTTAGGTCTGCAAGGTTTCACCTTGAAAACTCCCTTAAAAAATCGTTTGATTTGTATATCTGTCCCTAAACTTGGGTCTATGATTAGAGACAATGCTGAACGGTATGTGTTTAGGGTTGTGTAAGAAGCACCCTTTGATAACATGTCTGTGAGAAATTTTATTTTTTTTTGGAATTGACAACTCATATATATTTTCTCCATTACAAAATGACCATCATTTTTTAAGAGCTGTTGTATATTGCTTTATAGTGTTATGTGATAAAGATGCTAACATGATGTCTATTGTTTCAACAGGGGTAAGTTTTCTCTGGAATGCTTCCCTGATAATATGCAGGCTTCCAGGGAAAGACTTGTGCAGGGGATGTAGTGTTCTGAAAGGTGATAGTAATAAATCTTTTGAGGGTTCAAACTGTAAGACTTTTGTAATTGCTAATTCATTAATATAAGGGTACCAGGGTTGAGAGGACCATAAAGGGAATACAATAATACCTAAATTAAATATATATATAATAAATAAATTAAAGGTGGACCAGTCAACCGTAAAAGCGTCAATATTTTCTGCATATGGATCTCTATGCCTAGATATGTATCTTTGACATTTTTTATTTGCTCTGGTTGCAAACAGGTCTATGTCAGGTTCTCCGAGTGATTTTTTAATGTTTACCAGCAAAAGTATTTACCTCTAAGTTTGTCGTACAGATGGTTTGGTTGGAGGACGTTGTGGGGTTTTCGGCTTCTGTGAGTAGTGGTGTGTCTGTTGGTGATATCTGCTCCCCTCCTTGTTTGACCTGGCTCATGCTCGTACGAGGAGAGGCCCTGAAGTTTCCCTGTTTCTTGGGATAATTTTGTGAATAATTGCGTCGGTTAGTCGGTATATGTTTGGGGGGTATTTTGTTTTAATATTGTGCCAGCGGATTTCTTAATAGCTGTGGCAGTCTTAACACTGTCGTTAAATTTCTCCCCAAATAGGTACTCATCCCTTCTTAGATTTTCCACTGTTTTGCCAATATTCTTATCTAGATTTGGGATAATTAATTTCTTTCTGGTGACAGTATCTTGATAGTGAAGGTCCATCAGCAACCGTGTGACATCACTAATTATTGAAATTAATTTAATTTTATCCACGTCATTTTTAATGAGGCTGTCTATGGAAGACAACAAGGCTCCTGTTGCCACACCCATCTGTTGTTGACGCTCCTCCACTCTCTTGTCTCGGGCCTTCATGGAATCATTTAAAAGGCCCTCCAACTCTCTATTAAGCTTAGGCGCATCTAATAGTTTGGTATTGGAAGGTATCAAGTACTTCTTGATAAGTTCTTCCTTTAAGTCCCGTTTAGACCTTCGACCCTTTTTACCAGCTCGGTGTGAATATCTGGCCCATATTCTTTTTCTGTCGATATAGTTTGACCAAGAGCCTTGATAATGGAAACATCCAGAATTTCATCTGTATTTTCTAGACATTCTGCACCTATAACAAGACCAAACAAACATGTTTGCTATAATTATTATACCTATACATTCAGCTACTAGCTGTTGTGTAAATTTGTACCCCAAGGAGTATAATTGCAAGTTGCACACAATATAGGTATAGATTACAGCCACTCCGTGACTGTTTTGGCATAGAAATCCTTTCTTACCACATTAGTATATGACAAGGTGCAATATTATAATAATTCACTCTTATACAGCTTCAAGCGTGTGTATCGAGAACAACGTTACATTATAAACTCAGCAGGATATCCCTGCGATGACCTCACTCCACCGGAGTGCCTGCAATGATACGTACCACGTATCATAGAAACAGGAACGATCAAAAGTTAGGTTATTTTTTATGGATAAACTTGCCTGTAACCTCTGCGTCCACAATTTCAACATTTTCCAAATCGCTTTCATCAGTATCGGCGTCGATGATCGTGAAGAACTACGACTACGACTTCCTCTTTGTCTGTCTTTTAATTTTCGTTTTAGCCGTTTTATTTTCCTTCTGTATCTTTCTTCTGTACTTTCCCGTTTCCTTTTCGGCATTTTAACACTTTTATACTTGAAAAACACAATGGAAGAAAATTAATTGACAGGCACGCACAGCGCGAAAACAATGAATGACTTACAGATATAGTGTTGCCAGTAAGTAGCCTGTTTTGGTTTTTGAATTCCCTAAATATTCGCGGCACGCACAATGCAAGATTGTGGAACTACAAAGTGAAAAAGAAGATCTCGGACTAAGCTTGAGTATAATTGTTCATCGTGCGTTTTATGAGGTTCCGGATTGTCTCTGAAAAGATGAATCACAAGTTGATAAGGCATATTTCTTTTAGGGCATTATATTATAAAGGACGTAGGATCGGCCGATATGGACTAACAAAAGTTGAAAGTCATACACAAAGTTATAACCAACAGTGTACACACCTTATTGACACAGTCGAGGCACTCGGGATGGTAGTTTTTGTCCTCATAACGCACGCTGTCCTTGAGATGCCATTCGTCGTCATCATCGTGATAGAACAGCTCGAACTTGTCCCCACAGAGTGCACAGTTGTCGTCAGCGACGTCAGGGCACCTGCTTTGACGCTGGGCACGACCACTGGTTTCACTTCGGCCTTCTTCGCTGCAATCGCTTCGAACCAACTTTTCTCTGAAAATTAATGATCGTTCATTAATTATTGCTACGAAGGAGATAGATATCCAGTTACTTACGTTTAACGTCCTGGTCTTCCACTTCCTCGAACTGCAGCCAGTCAGAACGAGTGTAATGCCAAGGACGAGACTGGGCGATGCGCTTGGCGGTCCGGTCGCGTCTGTTCTGGCGAAAGTGCCAGTCGAGGTGCTGCGAGTAACGCACTGTTTCCTTAGTCGGGAAACGAGTGCTACACCCGGAACACTGCTTGCCGGCGTACTGCTGTTCCACGAGCCCCGGCTGTGCACTGAAAAGAGAATGTCGTTGTTTTAAATTTTAACAAAATTTAAGTTTATGAAACGTATTTCAGATAGACAAAATGATGCTTAGGTTTTCAAGCTTTCCGGATTCTTGAGATCCACAGTGATTATTCCTTCCGACCCACCCTGTGGTTCCGCCGTCTTTTCCACGTGCAATTCCTTCGGCACCTTGAGCAGGCCTGTGTATACGAGTCTCTAAAGGGGATCTTCGACCTTCACGGTGCCCTCCTGTTTTTTAGCAGCGAGAGAATCGTCGACTGGCGACTCTTCCCTCTCCCGCTTAGTTTCATAAGTGCAACTAGGCGGGTGGCACCGAGTGCGGGACGGGGCTCCGTGTTGGCGCGATTCGGGAACGCGATGCCACCAGGCAGCATCAGCTCCTTGAGGAAGGTCGCGCCTAACACTGAGTCCCGCTCCGCGAGAATGGGAAGATGCTCCGCCTAGACTCGGAGTATCCACTGACGTCGTGGGAGACGGCGTGGCTGGTGGCGTTAAAACCGTTGTGATCTGTAAAAAAAAAATAATTAAAAAAGATCCAGATAAAAGTTCATCTAAATAGAAAGATATAAAATCGTAATTTTACACAAATTAAAATTTTGAAACAATTACGGAATAACGAGTTTTGTAGGTCCAAGACATTTTTTACAATAAACAAATGCACTGATTGAATGAACACTCAAAAGTCGGAGATGTGATCTGGCCAACGTTAGAGTCAACACTAATCCACCTCGCGCTGCAACTCTGACAGAACACCTTGTCAAGGGGTGGGGGAGCACACGTAGGCTATGCTACTAATGGAAATTTATCATTGTGAACAATTTGCATTATCGTTAATCTCCTTCTAATGACCACTTAATGAGTTATCTAGGTACGTTCCTGCCAAAGTAAACGACGGCAACCCTTTTGTATACGGAACAATGTCACATGCTCAGAAATAATATTTAATTAGTTTCAAGAACAATTTGAATATAGTCGGACAGTTTTAGTTTAACTAATTATGCAATTTAGATTGGTGAATCGCGTAAAGTAAAGAGACATTCTCGATTACTCATGTCATCAAACAGAATGTATGCTTGGTGACATATTGAGGTAATCAGAAAGAAAATATCATTGTCATGCTCCTTTTCTATTGGGCACGTATTACAATGGCAATTGGGAAATGTTAACGTTTCCCCCAAGATTTATCAAAGTGTAGATGATTGTCGACATTATAGCAGTGAGCCCTATGTTTTATACATGATTTAAACCGTTAGTGTACAGAGATTTACTCCGATTACTACTACAGTTCCATTGTGGCCACGAAGATCTAAATTATAATAATAATAAATAGTTTCTAGTGAGATTCTAATTGTAATGGTATTTGATTATTATCTTATTGTGATTTATGATAGCTGCTAAAGCAAATTACTCGTCTTTTAAGTTTTAAGCATGTTGACTGCCACACGTCACATGTGATTTTTAGAAAGAAAGGATTGTTCCTATGTAATTATATTGCTACGATTGTAACCTTTGTAGTTCGAACATTTGTTTTTACACAGATGTTTGGTACTAATAGTTGTATGGATAAGGTGACGTAATATACCCACTCACTAAATAACAATAATAAACAGGTAATATACTTCTAGTAGAACGGGTAAACTTACAATGAAAAGATATGACTTGAGACAAGTAAGATTCTAATTGTATTGGTTTCATTATCCTATTGTGATAAAAACGAGAAACGGTTAGCAAAGCTTTAGATTGAGAACAATACGATTAGGTGCACAAAGCAAGGGGTAGACAGCAGTGGAAATCCTATCTGCAACGCGGCGAGCAAGCTCTCGTATCGGTAGTTGATTAAGAATCGCCAGATAAGGAGCATTTGGCAGCTGGGGTTCAAGCACTCTTCTCGGTCGATAAAAATCGGAATCAGATGGAAGCACGTATCGGAGAAGACGCGCGACACGCTTCGCGTCAACAAGAAGATCTTCTAATGTATAGCCATCTGGGAGTATCTTAGACCGTGGAATAGCATCACAGACTTCAAATCGTGGCAATGGTCTGCCTTCTCCATCACGATTTGTTGCTCGTATGAGTGTCAAATCATAATCAACAACAGAGGCAAGAAAGTTATCTAATAGGGAGGGCGACACTCTCCTGTATCTATCTATTGACTCTAATGTAATACACCTCGGATTGAGGTGATCTATTCTAGGCAGAATTTCCGTATTATCATCATGATATGGCGCGTTAAGCTGGATACAGCGCACAATGCAATCAAAATTTTCATAATCCACAGACGGTGCTAACTGTGGATAAGTATCAGGATCAACATAATACAGAAATTGGGAAAGACTGAATCTATACAATGATTCGAGAGGGCACCAATCATCAAGTGACGGTCCAACTCGTTGCCGCATGTTATTAAATATATCTTGAATAGAAGTAACTAAAGGAACAGTAACAGCAGGCAATTCAATTGATTGAAATTCTTCAACCTCTGGTTCGATCACTGGTTTGACAACTTCTGAATGGCTTTCACGCTCTAATTCAGCTTGACGTTCACGCTCCATTCGTTGTTCTATCTCTTTCTGGAGACGTTGAAGGTCCTCTACCTCTACCCTCATAAGGGCCGAGGAGGGTACCGGTGGTTTTTAGTGGGTAGGACCGGCGTTGTTCCACGCCGGGGAGTCCCACACACGTCGCGCGCCTGGCAAGCGCGCGGTATGGTGCGTAAATGCATTTTCCACCGTCAACAAAAGGTGCACAAAGCAAATGTCTTGTTTTTTTAAGTTTCAATAATGTTATTTGCCACAAATCACGTACGTCAACTTTGATGTATTTCAAAGTTTTGGAGTCGATAACTTTTCAATAAGAAGAAATAAAAAAATACTAAAAATATGTAACAATCCGTTACATTGTATCTATTGAATAATTTAATTAAAAATATATTCATTCATCCATTTGTGACAAAAAAAACTGCCTAATCAAAGTAAAACGGAAACTGGGGTAAAAACTACCCAATTTGATTACCGAAATGCAAACTAAACCCGGTTATTATAATGTAAAAAAAAAATTTTTGCTCAATAGGAAAAGGAATTAGAGAAGTTTAAAAGTGTCGGGGTTACTTTGATAAATAATAAAGACATTGATTATAAAATTTTAATTTTAATAAAGATATTAATTCAAGAAACTTAACTTCTTTTACATGATAATAAATTCAAATTGTTATTCCGTATCAAATCAACAAAATGAACCATGATCAAATTATTGCTAAAGTAGGTAGGTACTTAATTAGTAGTTACATATATTAATCAGTCTAATGATTGCCGCAATGAGATCGCTTTCAAAAAATATGAATTAAGATATTTCTAAAATATTTATATCGATATTAAATTCGCAACACTCAATACTAATCTTGGAAGATATGCAACGATGTCTTCTTTATTAATTTTTGATATATCATCTCGTACTAACTTAAAGCACTTTTTGTTTCCCATGGACTTGAAACCTACAGCGACCAAAGGACTCAAGTCTGTGATCCGACAAACGTATCTTTATGTTTCCCGCTTCCTCTGGAGTAGAATTTACATAAAATATATCTCCACACCTCCAGCTCGTCACTTTCATCTGGAGAAGGACTTTCGCTATCCGAGTTTTCATTAGTCGGAGTTTAATTTGGAGAACTGTTTCTAACTCCCGTTTGGAGTGCTATAGTCGAGACGCTTGTACCTGGCACAACATTAAGACGTGTTCTTTTCGGTCTAGGACCGCTTGTCTCTCCACCAAACCTTTGCTCTTTTAGGAACGTAGTAAACACGCTTTCCACTTCCTTTGTGGGATCAGTTTCGACTGATGTGGAAGGCGTTTTAAGACCTGTTCTCTACACAATGGATATATGTTAGTCGCTTTAAATTCTCTCAACAAATTTCTCTTCACGCCTCCGGAAGTATCGGAGAATGGAGCATGTGGTTTGGCTTCGACATTTTTTCCAGTGTATTACAAAGGGGTCTTGAAAATGAATCTCGAGGAACTGTAGGTAAACGGGGATTTTGTATCTTCCAGGCAGTTAGTATTTGCCTCCAGGCAGACTTCAATGGTCGGAAGAAGGCCAAGTCTAGTGGCTGAAATAGATGAGTGGAATTTGGTACTACGCACACAAAATCGATCGCATGTTGATCGCACACTGATAAAAAAAAAATTGTCATTTAACTGTATATTTATTCTAGACAAAGTGTCTATCGTTTTGGCCCCTTGTTCCCAGCTTGGAATATTAGCTAAAGTCATCCACTGAAAGTGTTTTAAGTCAGTACAAAATTCACTGGTCCAGGAATTCACGTAATCTTTGGCAATATTGTACATTCTTCTCATGTTTTGTTTAAAATATTCTACCTCATCCCGACGAGCCTCCGATAAACGTAAAATTTCGGTAAAAAATTTTTCACTTTCATTGGGTAAAAATTTTGTTCCAATCTTTCGTTTATTTTACATTTTCCACTATTTGCGAACACTGCTCAATTACTTCATTGACAAACATATCAGCAGTTTCAGTGCGATTGATTCGGCTTTGGTATAAAGACATGAAAAATGTAAGAGCCATAAATAATACTCAGAGAAGTCATTTTCAAAAAACATTTGCAATGTTCTGGCCGGATAACTCACTGAAAGAAAGTATGACTTTAATGGCTCGCACATTTGCAAGATTCTGTCTATGGCGGGATAAAGAGAGAGCCAGCGGGTTTTTGAATGGCTAAGCATACGTTTTAAATCAATTTCAAATTCAGAACAAACTATTTTAAAGCTTCAGTACGAACTGTGAAGCTGGCAAAGTGGTTGTGCATTTGCATCACTATGCTGTCTACACATATTGGTAAAGATTCGATTGCGTGATGTACGGAATTGCTAAAGATATGTGCAATACATCCAAAACCGACCATATCATCGTTTTGAGTAACTGATTTGAGTCTACTGTAGACGCTTTTGGTCCCACTTCTCTCTCTACCGCCAAAGTTAGTATTGGTGTTGTCCGCTGAAAAAGCAATTAATTTATCCGATAAGTTTTTGTCCGACAAAATGGCGTGTATGTTAGTGGATATTGTTTCAGCAGTCTCATTCGGTAAGGCCTGTAGCTCCAGTAATTCAACTTGAATTCCTCCTTTTTCAGGGCTGAAATATTGTTACGCTATCCTAAAACATTTTTTAGCTTTAGAGCGAATCTGGATATATACTCTTGCAAAGTGGAGCTGTGCAATCTAGTGAGTTAAATTATTCGTGATCATAATCATAATCATAATCAAAATCATTTATTCAGTTTAGGCTGTTACAAGCACATATGAATGTCTAGAAGCTACGCCATCGGTTCGTAAATCTACGGCGGGAGACCTTGTACTGAGAAGAACCGGCAAGAAACTCAGCAAGGGCTATTTTTTTCTCCCTGTTTTATTATTTACAGAGTCGTCAAATTGAAAAATGACTTCAGAGGTGATTCATGAAGTCACTTTTCATTACATAATTATTAAATATACATTAATTGTTTACCTGCATTTTGATTGCTGTGTCATACAGTATAAATACAAATAGTGTTATTTATATTCAGTGTGACTAAACATTAACTTCAATATTAAGGAAGTTAGGGCAGACTCATCTCCGCTGGCAGCACCCGTTCACGAGCATGACGCATGAACCAGCCATCGCTTCGCTCAACCATATTTTAGGGAACGTAACGATCCGCCTCACACGACACCGCCGAAGAGACTATTATGAGAGCATGACTACCCATAACTACCCATACTAACTACAACATATTTACTTAAATTAAGGTCATTTACCAGTAAGACACAACAAACAATTACAAAACAAAGCAAAGGAGAAATCACGACCACGCCGTTTTGTCAATCAAATATTCTTAAACAGTCTGGTAATCTTACTTAAGTTATTAACTTTATATACAGCTTTCAGTTTAATTATAGTATTGTCAACACATAATTCATAATTTAAATCATATAGAAATACCCGTTGGAATGGTTGGAACAGTTCATACCCAAGCATTTTTGTCTGTAATATAATCAGACACTTTATAATATGCTTTCTTAACTAGTGATTTTTTAATGGTCGATTTAAATTTAGTCATGCTTAACTCCTGAATATTGCTTGGAACTTTATTGTAAAAGCGAACACTAAGACCTCTAAACGAATTATTGATTTTGTGGAGCCTAGTAGCAGGTAAAGTTAAGTTATTTTTATTTCTAGTATTATATGTATGTATTTCACTATTTTTAGTAAACAAATTAATATTTTTTTTTACAAATACTAAGTTGTCATATATGTATTGTGATGCAACTGTCAATATACCTATTTCTTTAAACTTATCTCTTAATGAATCCTTAACTTTAAGATTATAAATTGATCGAATAGCCCTCTTCTGCAGCACAAATATAGTTTGAATGTCGGCGGCATTTCCCCACAGTAAAATACCGTAAGACATTACACTATGAAAATAACTAAAGTAGACTAATCTGGCAGTTTCTATATCCGTTAACTGCCGTATTTTCATTACAGCATATGCTGCAGAACTAGTCTCTTCGACAATCCATCAATATGTGGGCCCCACTGCAGCTTAGAATCTAGTGTGATTCCTAAGAACACTGTGGTATCTACAGAGCTCATATGTCGATCCTTTATATTTACATTAGTTTTTACCTGTTTCACATTAGGTAATACAAATTTCAAACACTTAGTTTTCCCTTCATTTAGCATCAAATTATTAACATTGAACCAGTGGACTACCTTCGAAATAGACCTGTTCACGTCATCAATTTGTGACTCCCTACGTTTAATTTTAAACAAAAGTGAAGTGTCATCCGCAAACAATACTATTTCGTGGTTATCCTTTACAAAATAGGGCAAGTCATTGATATAAATTAAAAATAAGAAAGGACCAAGGATTGAGCCCTGCGGAACTCCCATCTTAACCGACGAACCAGGAGATTTTACTCCATTGATGTCAACCCTCTGAACCCTATCACTCAAATAAGATACAATAAGATCCAGAGTGGTATCTCTAAATCCATAGTGGTGAAGTTTCCTGATCAATATTTCATGAAAAACGCAATCAAAAGCCTTTGATAAGTCACAAAATACACCTAATGCATCTTGCGAGTTCTCCCAGGCATCAAAAATTTGCTGTACAAGCTCAACACCGGCATCGGTTGTTGAGCGACCCCTTGTGAAACCAAATTGTTTACTATGAAGAATGTTATTACTATAAAAATATGATTGCATTTGATCTAGCATAATTTTTTCAAAAATCTTACTAAAGGTGGGTAACACGGATGTTTAACGGTATGATAAACCAGAGTAGCTTCTGTGGCCCGAACGCTCCGTTGACGACTTAAGTTCGAATTGGATTCCATGAAAATATCAATTCTTGATGTAGATGCCGTACTACGAATCTTCATTTTGTGTTTTTCGGTATTTAAATGCTTTTCTAAGTCAACTTTGCCCTTATAAAATAATTTGATCACAAATAACACATTTTGCGTCCCATGGCTCCTTGCCAGATTTGAACATCTTGAATTGACTTTTTAAACTTTCAGAAAATATACATTTTCTTTTCGACATGACTAATAGACAGATCTGAAACAAAGATGTTTTACTTGTATTTGAAGTTTGTCATTAACACATTAATGCTACAAATAGAAAAAAATTAAACTAACTCACCAAAAATACGGTCGCCGCTAACTTAAATACTTAATTATACGTGAACACACGCCAAGCACGCACAAACGCCACGCGTTCCTAGGGCAGACTAACAGGCGCGAACCTGTCTGTGGACGGCGCGGGCAGCGGGGCGGGGTAGTTACGCTCACGTCACGCGTCGTGCGCGCCAACAGTTAGCGCTCTTGTCCGCTCGGACGCTCGTCCGCCCATCGTCGTACGAATCGCCATTGACAAAGAAACCGGACAGGCCAAACACGTACATATTTGGCTGGACGCGACCGCAAATAGCCAAACATGTCCTGCCAAACTGGCAAGCCTATATCCGATCCTCCTAGTACACATTTAAGTCGTTAGTCATGTAATCGACATAGGTAACGAAATCTGCAGTTAGGCCACTATTACTTGAGACGCTGAGTGCTATAAAAAGAAAAAAGAAATAGATTTTTTAAAGTAGTTTATTAAGATACGATAAACGTTATTTAATGAATTTTACAACAGTGGATAACATAGACACACATCATCACCTTTCCACAAAAATTACAGCTTTCCACTACTGCTTACAAGACGACGATATTTATCACAGTTTATTAGCATTGTTGTCGAATTTTTAAATAATTTTGTAACTTTACTTAATATTAAATAGGTTTTATGCTCACGAAGAAAATAAATAGTTGATCAATATAAGAATAAAATGTGCAAACACATTGGGTAAAGTCACAATGGGATTACTTTATTTATCAAAATTGAAGAGCTAAAAGTAAACTCGTTTATAAACTATAACATAGTGGTTAATAAGGTAAATTCCTATTACAACTTAAAAGGTAACAATATTTTTATACCTAACTAACAGTGATTCGTCTAAAATTATTAATTTGTACAACAACATTATATGACAAAACCTAACCTAATTGAAAAAAATGCAAATCTTAAAAGTAGACATAGAAGGTATATAAAAAAACGCAATAATAATAATAAAAAAATAACTAAAAACAAGAACAAAATAACATAGGCTGCGGTCCGTGGGGCTGGGTGTTTAATTGTTCTTCGTGCGTTCTATGAGGTTCCGGATTGTCTCTGAAAAGATGAATCACAAGTTAATAAGGCATATTTCGTTTAAGGGCATTATATTATAAAGGACGTAGGATCGGCCGATATGGACTAACAAAAGTTGAAAGTCATACACAACGTTATAACCAACAGTGTACACACCTTATTGACACAGTCGAGGCACTCGGGATGGTAGTTTTTGTCCTCATAACGCACGCTGTCCTTGAGATGCCATTCGTCGTCATCATCGTGATAGAACAGCTCGAACTTGTCCCCACAGAGTGCACAGTTGTCGTCAGCGAGGGCACCTGCTTTGACACTGGGCACGACCACCGGTTTCACTTCGGCCTTCTTCACAGCAACCGCTTCGAACCAACTTTTCTCTGAAAATTAATGATCGTTCATTAATTATTGCTACGAAGAGACTCGAGAATCTGTACGTCGTGACGTAGATAGATATCCAGTTACTTACGTTTAACGTCCTGGTCTTCCACCTCCTCGAACTGCAGCCAGTCAGAACGAGTGTAATGCCAAGGACGAGACTGGGCGATGCGTTTGGCGGTCCGGTCGCGTCTGTTTTGGCGAAAGTGCCAGTCGAGGTGCTGCGAGTAGCGCCCTGTTTCCTTAGTCGGGAAACGAGTGCTACACCCGGAACACTGCTTGCCGGCGTACAGCTGTTCCACGAGCCCCGGCTGCGCACTGAAAAGAGAATGTCGTTGTTTTAAATTTTAACAAAATTTAAGTTTATGAAACGTATTTCAGATAGGCAAAATGATGCTTACGTTTTCAAGCTTTCCGGATTCTCGAGATCCACAGGGATTATTCCTTCCGACCCACCCTGTGGTTTCGCCGTCTTTTCCACGTGCAACGCCTTCGGCACCTTGAGCAGGCCTGTGGATACGAGTCTCTGAAGGAGATCTTCGACCTTCTCGGTGCCCTTCTGTTTTTTAGCAGCGAGAGAATCGTCGACTGGCGACGCTTCCCTCTCCCGCTTAGTTTCATAAGTGCAACTAGGCGGGTGGCACCGAGTGCGGGACGGGGCTCCGTGTTGGCGCGATTCGGGAACGCTCTGCCACCAGGCAGCATCAGCTCCTTGAGGAAGGTCGCGCCTAACACTGAGCCCCGCTCCGCGAGGATGGGAAGATGCTCCGCCTGGACTCGGAGTATCCACTGACGTCGTGGGAGACGGCGTGGCTGGTGGCGTTAAAACCGTTGTGATCTGTAAAAAAAAATTAATTAAAAAAGATCCAGATAAAAGTTCATCTAAATAGAAAGATATAAAGTCGTAATTTTACACAAATTAAAATTTTGAAACTTACGGAATAACGAGTTTTGTAGGTCCAAGACATTTTTAACAGTAAACAAATGCACTGAATGAATAAACACTCAAAAGTCGGAGATGTGATCTGGCCAACGTTAGAGTCAACACTAATCCACCTCGCGCTGCAACTCTGACAGAACACCTTGTCAAGGGGTGGGGGAGCACACGTAGGCTATGCTACTAAAGGAAATTTATCATTGTGAACAATTTGCATTATCGTTAATCTCCTTCTAATGACCACTTAATGAGATATCTAGGAACGTTTCTGCCAAAGTAAACGACGGCAACCCTTTTGTATACGGAACAATGTCACACGCTCAGAAATAATATTTAATTAGTTTCAAGAACAATTTGAATATAGTCGGACAGTTTTAGATTAACTAATTATGCAATTTAGATTGGTGAATCGCGTAGAGTAAAGAGACATTCTCAATTACTCATGTCATCAAACAGAATGTATGCTTGGTAACATATTGAGGTAATCAGAAAGAAAATATCATTGTCATGCTCCTTTTCTATTGGGCACGTATTACAATGGCAAATGGGAAATGTTAACGTTTCCCCCAAGATTTATCAAAGTGTAGATGATTGTCGACATTATAGCAGTGAGCCCTATGTTTTATACATGATTTAAACCGTTAGTGTACAGAGATTTACTCCGATTACTACTACAGTTCCAATGTGGCCACGAAGATCTACATTATAATAATAATCAATAGAAACTATGACGTGAGTAGGACGGGTAAAATTACAATCGAAAGGTACGACTTGAGACAAGTGAGATTCTAATTGTAATGGTATTTGATTATTATCCTATTGTGATTTATGATAGCTGCTAAAGCAAATTACTCGTCTTTTAAGTTTTAAGGATGTTGACTGCCACAAGTCACGTGTGATTTTTAGAAAGAAAGGATTATTCCTATGTAATTATATTGCTACGATAGTAACCTTTGTAGTTTATTTTTTTTGTACACAGATGTTTGGTACTCGCTTTTGTCACAAGTGAGATTTTAATTGTATTGGTATCATTATCCTATTATTGTGATAAAAACGAGAAACGGTTAGCAAAGCTTTAGATTGAGAACAATACAATTAGGTGCATAAAGCAAATCTCTTGTTTTTTAAGTTTCAATAATGTTATTTGCCACAAATCACGTGCTGTTTTTAGTATGAAATGGTTATTTCTATTGTGATTTAATTGCTACGATAGTAACCTTTGTAGTTCGAAAATTTGTTTTTATGCAGGGTTTTGGGGACTCGCTTTTGCGACAGTGATATTAATTAATATGGAGACGTAATGTTAATGTAGAAGAAATATCTGAGTGTTCTATCCGATCCTTTTAGTAAACATTTAGTAGTCCGTTTTATAATGCACATAGGTAATTAAATCTGCTGTTAATTCCTATGTATTACAAGATTATACAGGGTGGCCGGGGAGTTGACGTTCAAACGTAAAATTTAGATACTTTATGATGAGGAGTATCCAAATCAACCCTATTGATTTCTTTATCTGGGGCTACTTTAAAGAAATTGCGTACGCCAGAGAAGCTTTGAATGAAGAAGAACTGAGAGCAAAAATTCGCGAAGCTGAAACCACTGTGAAAAATAACCGTCAAGCTTTAAGACACCTAAAACATATTTTTTTGCGTAGATGAAGATTGTGTATTTCTGTGGGAGGGCGAAATTTTGAAAATTTTCTTTAAATAAATGTATTTTGTTAACAATTAACTGCGTATTACTCAAATCCATCATAACTCAGAAAGTCAAAGATTATTTTTTTTCCTTTGATAATGCCTTAATTTATTTTGAAGGTCAGTTACAGAAAATAAACCCCCATTAACCCTATCTTTATTTGGCCTTGTTTTAAAGTTTAATGTTTCAGGAAGTTTCTAAATGCACTTTGAAAATTTGTGTGTACTGAGCTCAAATCGTAATTTTCACTTTCGAACAAATTCTAAGTAAATTCTGCAATGCCTAGATAAACCATAAGTTTTAGGGTGCTAGGTTAGACTATGTTAGTCAGTTATCACAAAAAAATTGAACCAGAAACGTCCAACAGAATGAGAAAAAAATCGAAAACTGATGTTAGGTGAAAATTACGAAAAAAATCATTAAAAAAATTATAACTCGAAAACTACGCAAAATCCTAGAACATATATGGGGGTGATTTGGATACTCCTCCTCATCATAAAGTATCTAAATTTTACGTTTGAACGTCAACTCCCCGGCCACCCTGTATTATAAAACCTAACTTAAATGAAAAAAATGCAAATCTTGAAAATAGACATGGAGAGTATAACAAGAACAATTCCGCAGTTATAAGAATAGAAATAAATAAAACCTAAACTCACATCGACAGTACTTTTCTGGCAAAGTTAACGACGGCAAACCTTTGGCTTACGAAACAAATGCTCAAAAATGATATTTAATGAATTCTAAGTTTTAATTTAACTAATTATGCAATTTGGATATGTGTACATCGCGTTGAGTTAAAAGCCATACTCAATTACTCATGCATGTTATCAAACAGAATGCATGATTTTGGTGATATATTGAGTAATCAGAAAGAAAACAACATTGCCATGTTCCTTTTAATTGGACACGTATTACAATACCAAAAACAGGAATGGCAAATGGGAAATGTTAACGTTTCCCCAAGATGTATCAAAATGTAGATGATTGTCGACAGTACCAGTGAGCATACATGATTTAAACCTTTACTAAAAAAAACTTTACTTCGAGTACTACTATAGTTCCATTGTGGCCACGAAGATCCGAAATAATAATAATAAATATTTTCTCGTAGAACTGGTTAAATAACAACGAAAAATAATGACTTGAGACGAGTAAGATTCTTAGTGTATTGGTATCATTATCCTATCGTGATAAAAACGAGAAACGGTTAGCAAATCTTTTCATTGAGAACAATGCAATTAGGTGTTCCATAAAATCCAATAAATTTCCCAAATAAATTGTAATAGGTTAGCTGGGAGGGCGGCGCTGTTACAAAAATGTGAGTAAATAATTTGAAATTAACAGAAATTTTCGGAAGAAGCTTGAAAATGGGTGAAGAAATATCGGACTGCTCTATCCGATCCTCTTAGTACACATTTAAGTCGTTAGTCATGTAATCGACATAGGTAACTAAATCTGCAGTTAGGCCTTTTAGTTACTTGAGATGCTGAGTGCCATAAAAAGAAATAGAAATAGATTTTTAAGGTAGTTTATTAAGATACGATAAACGTTATTTAATGAATTTTACAACAGTGGATAACATAGACACACATCATCACCTTTCCACAAAAATTACAGCTTTCCACTACTGCTTACAAGACGACGATATTTATCACAGTTTATTAGCATTGTTGTCCAATTTTTAAATAATTTTGTAACTTTACTTAATATTAAATAGGTTTTATGCTCACGAAGAAAATAAATAGTTGATCAATATAAGAATAAAATGTGCAAACACATTGGGTAAAGTCACAATGGGATTACTTTATTTATCGAAATTGAAGAGCTAAAAGTAAACTCGTTTATAAACTATAACATAGTGGTTAATAAGGTAAATTCCTATTACAACTTAAAAGGTAACAATATTTTTATACCTAACTAACAGTGATTCGTCTAAAATTATTAATTTGTACAACAACATTATATGACAAAACCTAACCTAATTGAAAAAAATGCAAATCTTAAAAGTAGACATAGAAGGTATATAAAAAAACGCAATAATAATAATAAAAAAATAACTAAAAACAAAAACAAAAAAAAATGATGTGGTGTCGTGGGACACCAGGTAGGAACGAAGTTCCTTTGGCTAATGTAGAATCGACACAAATTGCAGGTTTTCTTGATTTTCTCTTATTTTTTTTTAAGTACAAGAAAGTATTTAGGAAATTCAGTATTTTAGGAAATAATAAATTACTTAAAATAAAAAACATCGTAATTCAAATTATCAACTAAAGTAACAAAATATGTCTCTTTAGTTTTGTTTGACAACATAAAATTACATAGAAATAGAAAAAAATAGAAATAGAAATAAAAAAAATAATTACAAAAAAAGTTTATTATTATTATTAATATTATTATTAAATACCTCTGTTTGTATTTATATTGTGTGACACAGCAATCAAAATGCAGGTGAACAATTAATGTATAATTTCACATTATGTAATGAAGGGTGACTTCATGAATCATCTCTGAAGTCATTTTTCAACTTGACGTCTCTGTAAATGATAAAACAGGGAGAAAAAAACAGCCCTTGCTGAGTTTCTTGCCGGTTCTTCTCAGTACAAGGTCTCCCGCCGTAGATTTACGAACCGATGGCGTAGCTTCTAGACATTCATATGTGCGTGTAACAGCCTAAACTGAATAAATGATTTTGATTATTATTATTGATTATTATTGATTATATTATAAGTAATTCTTAATTAGCAGTCTCGTCATCAAATTCTATTGTTGAAACTATTGGCTTGTGGTAACTAAAATATGATACATATGTTTGTGATTCTATTTTATGCAAATACCTCGAAAAAACAGCATCAATAGTAGTACCGTATTTTGTTGTCGATTCTTTTGGATTGTTATTTATAAGTAATTTAAATTTTTCTAAAAGAAATGTTCTTAGTGGTTCTGATTTTTCATCTGCAAAATTGATATTGAAGTCTCCAGATAAAACCATCGGAAGCTGATGGAAGTTTCCACCAAGTATTTTAGAAACCTCATCAGCATATTCTATCAGCGCTCGATGGATGAAATGTTTCACATCTTCTATTTTTGTATTTGGTGAAATGTAGACTATTACCATAACAATTTCCACTCCGTTGTTCGTTTTACATACAGCTGAACAAATGTCTCCAACTCCTGTACATGAAACATTCACATCGCCGGTATTTTTTAAGATTTTGTCCATATTTGGTGTTAAAATATTAGTAGTGTCATTGCTATTTTGATAGATAGCAACTCCACCTGTACGTACGTAATCTCGTTTGAAATGGGCAATGCAGTTGAAATTAGGAATATCAA